CCCTGGGTAGAGTGCCGAGTGATTCTCTCACCTCAGCCTCATAGGCGCACACCATAACACCCAGATATTTTTTTGTTGCAGTTGTCATTGTTAAGCTGGCCAGGGAGGTTTGAACCCACCAGCCTTGGGTGTGTGTGGCCTGTGCCCTACTCATTGAGCTATGGGTGCCACCCACTAATTTCCATTTTAAAAGAGACCACAGCTACATGTGGAGAGTGAAATAGATAGCTAAAAGGCTGATCTATTCATGATCCCCTTCATATAAATCATCCATCAAAGAAGCTGAAATAATCTATGTCAATTATTAGAGAATACAATAAGGGATTAGCTAGGCTAAAAAGTCCATTCATCTTACTTATAAGGACAGTATCAAGTGCAAAGGGATATTCAAAAAAGTCTATCTAACTTTAGTAGGGAGTACAAAGCACATCATAATTGTAAATATGAAAAAATCTTACTTTCCCAAGTTCTCCACATGGCCAAGGCAGGTAGAAAAACAGTAGTTGTATGCAATCACAATCGAAGGATAAAGTGACTGGAAATCCAAAACGAGAACAGAGTTGCTGTAGAAGCGGGACTCAGGCTCCATAATTAGGGGAATACACTGTGGGGCTCTCATTCGGGATCTCTGCTGAATACTAGGTGTCACAGGAATATAGTTCATTGGTTTAGCAATACGCAACATCATTGATTCCACACGGTACTGCAGGCAGGGAGAGAGAGTGATGAGAAGAAACACAGTTTAAGTATAAATATATTAGGCATGCTTTGGTTTTTCTTACAGTACAATTACATAGTTTTTTTTTTTTTTGAGACAGAGACTCACTTGCCCCCTTGGTAGAGTGCTCTGGTGTCACAGCTCACAGCAACCTCAAACTCTTGGGCACTAGCAATTCACTTGCCTCAGCCTCCAGAGTTGCTGGGACATCAGGCACCCGCCACACGCCTGGCTATTTTTAGAGACGAGGTCTCGCTCTTGCTCAGGCTGGTCTCAAACCTGTGAGCTCAGCAATCTACCCTCCTCAGCCTCCCAGAGTGCTAGGATTACAGGCATGAGCCCCTGCGCCCAGCCAATTACACAGTTTTAGTCAACTTTCAGGTGCTGAAGGAGACATATATGTAAATCCTTTTACTATTCCTGCATCTTTTATAAAAACTATAAAATATACCAAATAAGTTATAAGTCAAATTTAAAAAGACAGATACAATTAGATCTCTTTTGATCTTAAAATACAGCTATACCACAATAAAGCAAATGTAGGACAGAGAATGGTATGGTTTGACAATTTCATTTAAAAAGCTGGTCAAGGGCAGTGCCTGTGGCTCAAGGAGTAGGGTACAGGCCCCATATACCAGAGGTGGCAGGTTCAAACCTGGCCCCAGCCAAAAACTGCAATAAGTAAATACATAAGTAAATAAATAAATGAATCCTAGTCTGTAACACCTCAATACCACTTTGTAATAATAAAAAGTTTCAATAAATGGTTTTTAATTTAAATAAATAAAATAAATAAAAAGTTGGTCAAGGGCTGGGCGCGGTAGCTCATCCCTATAATCCAGCACTTGGGAGGCCGAGGTGGGTGGATTGTCCTGAGTTCACAGGTTCAACAGCAGCCTAAGCCAGAGCAAGACCCCC